TGGAAACATGTTCTTCACCTTTACAACAAATGAGTTTTGAAACAACAATGCACTTTCTAGTGAATGCTAGTATCCATGGAAGTCATGATTCTTTAAAATCGCCGTCTGCTCAGTTAGTGACAGGAAAACTTGTAACATGTGGTTCTGGATCATTTGAATTGATGAACAGAATAACTGTTTGACAGATTTTAATAAAGAGAAATCGTTTACATTTTGTTCCTGTATTCTGGCAATTATTTATTGTACATGTACCTCCATCAAATGCATATAGTGGATAATCAGTATTTCATATTTTTATGCCACCACCACTGGGTGGCAGGAATAATTTTAGAATATAACACTTGTTATTCCTTCAAACTTCAGAAGTCCAACATTTGTCAAGGATTTTTTTCAATTTAAATGAAGAGATATTTTGGTTCATTAGTTTGTAAGAATGAGTTACAGTTCAAGTTGGTGTTTTGTTCAGTATTACTAAGATTTATGGAGTCTTACCATCATCCCATAGGCTAGGCATTCTGGTCATCCTGACACCTATGTTTTATTTCATGTTGAAGGGAAGGCAAGATTTGGTGTCTGTAGAGTAAAAATTTAATGTCATGAGAGTTGTTAGGTTCTATCTCTAATTTGAATAAAACATAAAAAGGTTTACTCCTATGTCTACCAAAATGCAAACTGTTCTCTCATAGGTGCAGTGTATTCCATAATCAATACTAGTTGCTTGTATAACATGGTTGTTTCTTGTGAATTATTTTTGTATTGCTTGATGGCGGAAGATGGCCTGTTATCATATGATGTAATCTGTTAGTTACTACTTAGGAAGTCCTTTTGACTAATTAGATAAGCATCAATTGGATAGCAACCTAACATCAAAGGTCAACATATGAGTCTTTGAAAGTTATCAATAAATTTAACTGAGACCATCAAAGATCTGACATTAATACCCAATCATTACTGATCATGATTGATTTTATATTGAAAGTCTTTAAGATAATGGTTTTTCTACAAATGTCACATAAACTCAACATTATAAATGATGCACGTAAATGAGGTCAAGGTCAGACGAACCCTGCCCGACGGACATGTTCACATATAATCATGCTATAACCCACATATAGTTAACCTATTGCGAATGGTATTTTAGAAACATTCAATCACGAAAACTTTAATAACACTTAACTTTGAACAATGAACCAAGAAAATGAGGTCAAGGTCAGATTAACCCTGCCTCACAGATATGTACAGCTTACAGTCATTCTATACATTATATATAGTAGATTATACCTTATTGTATCTGAGAAATAGATTTTTATTTTTTTTTTTTTTTTGGTGTTTTAACGCCACTTTTAAGCACTGCTTTTGGGCGATTTCGTGGCGGCCAGTTTTTATTGGTGGAGGAAGCCGGATTGCCCGGAGAAAACCACGGACCTTCGATAGGAAAACTGACAATCCTAGTCAATTAAGATTGGAGTCGAAGGCACCCGATAGAGTGGGGTTCAAACTCACAACCTCAGTGTTCTGAGAAATAGACATTTGACAGATGTCAACTTCCTAACATAAAGCATCTATAGACAAGGTATGAAGCATCCATGTCTACCTTCTGGAATATGAAGCTTTATACGAATAGTTTATGCAGCTGCTAGATTAGCATCCCTACTCTCATTCTGCGACTTTGCAGGCTAGCCAATATGCCATTTCTAATGATTTTATGCCCTATCATCTATGGTTAAGTTTTGCACTGAAGTCAATATAAAATTAAGAAGATTTAGTATGATTGCCAATGAGACAACTCTCCACAAGAGACCAAATGACACAACTAGAGGCTCTCAAGAGCCTGTGTCGCTCACCTGACTCTACTTTGGTTTTAGAAATCATGTAAAGATAGATAAAAATCATAACAGATACCCAAATAATAATGATTGAGGCCAAATTTGGATTAATATTGGTCCCGTTATTTAATAAAATATACTGGTGGCCATCTTGAACAGTAAATCAGCAACAAAGTAGCAACACATGGTCAGCACCTCATAAGGAACATTCATGCCATGTTTGGTTTCATTCCATTCAGTGGTTCTCTAAAAGAAGACATTTGTATGTATTTTCCATAGGGTCCTATGTTAAACTAAGTCCCCCGCTGGCGGCCATCTTGGATGATGGATCGGCTGCAAAGAAACAACACTTGGTCAACACCTCATAAGGAACATTCATGCCATGTTTGGTTCCATTCCATTCAGTGGTTCTCTAAAAGAAGACATTTTGTATGTATTTCCCATAGGGTCCTATGTTAAACTAAGTCACCCACTGGCGGCCATCTTGGATGATGGATCGGCTGCAAAGTAACAACACTTGGTCAGCACCTTATAAGGAACATTCATGCCATGTTTGGTTTTATTCCATTCACTGGTTCTCTAAGAGAAGACATTTGTATGTATTTCCCGTAGGGTCCTATGTTAAACTAAGTCCCCGGCTGGCGGCCATCTTGGATGATGGACTGACTGCAAAGTTACAACACTTGGTCAGCACCTTATAAGGAACATTCATGCCATGTTTTGTTTCATTCCATTCAGTGGTTCTCTAAAAGAAGACATTTGTATGTATTTCCCATAGGGTCCTATGTTAAACTAAGTCCCCCGCTGGGGGCCATCTTGGATGATGGACCGACTGCAAAGTAACAATACTTGGTCAGCATCTCATAAGGAACATTCATGCCATGTTTGGTTCCATTCCATTTATTGGTTCTCTAAAAGAAGACATTTTTATGTATTTCCCATAGGGTCCTATGTTAAACTAAGTCCCCCGCTAGCGGCCATCTTGGATGATGGATCGGCTACAAAGTAACAACACTTGGTCAGCACCTCATAAGGAACATTCATGTCATGTTTGGTTTCATTCCATTCAGTGGTTCTCTAAAAGAAGACATTTGTATGTATTTCCCATAGGGTCCTATGTTAAACTAAGTTCCCCGCTGGTGGCCATCTAGGATGATGGATCGGCTACAAAGTAACAACACTTGGTCAGCACCTCATAAGGAACATTCATGCTATGTTTGGTTTCATTCCATTCAGTGGTTCTCTAAAAGAAGTCATTTGTATGCATTTCCCATAGGGTCCTATGTTAAACTAAGTGCCCCGCTGGCGGCCATCTTGGATGATGGATCGGCTACAAAGTAACAACACTTGGTCAGCACCTCATAAGAAACATTCATGCCATGTTTGGTTTCATTCCATTCAGTCGTTCTCTAGAAGAAGTTCAAAATGTAAAAAGTTTACGCCGACGACGGACGACGCTGGACGACAGACGCCAAGTGATGAGAAAAGCTCACTTGGCCCTTTGGGCCAGGTGAGCTAAAAATAAACAACTATAGGTCATCGTACCGCCTTCAATAATGAATAAAACCCATACCGCATAGTCAGCTATAAAAAGCCCCGAAATGACAAATGTAAAGCAATTCAAACGAGAAAAGTAACAGCCTGATTTAAGTACAAAATAATGAACGAAAAACAAATATGATATACAGCAACAAACGACAACCACTGAATAACAGGCTCTTGATTTGTGACAGGCACATACAGAATGTGGCGGAGTTAAACTAGTTTGAAGGCGCCAACCCTCCCCCTAACCTGGGACAGTGGTGTAACAGTACATCGTAAGAACAAACTATAACAAGAGAGCACACACTGAAATGTCTCGCCTGTATTACTGACCATTGATTTTATGTTGAAATTCTTAAAGATAAAACGTTTTACTACAAGTATCACATAAGCTTAACATTTTCAAAAATCCATGACAGTGAGGTCAAGGTCAGATAAAAACTGTCACACAGACATGTACACCATACAATAATTCCATACACCAAATATAGTTGACCCATTGCCTATGGTAATTGAAAAACAGACCAAAACACAAAAACTTAATGTTAACCAATGAAACATAGAAATGAGGTCAAGGTCAAATGATACTGGCTAGACAGACATGTACACCTTACAATCATTCCATACACCAATAATAGTTGACCTATTGCTATTTGTATTGGAAAAACAGACCAAAACACAAAAACTTAACATTGACCAATGAACCATGTAAATGAGGTCAAGGACAATGGACATATGATTGACAGAAACTTCATAATATAAGGTATCTCCATTCAAGATATGAAGCAACCAGGTCTTCTACCTTCTGAAGTATAAAGCTTTATACAAATAGTTTACTGACCTTATAACAATAATACATTGCTGACACCACTGCCTCCAGAGGCGAGACAAAAAAAAGTTATCTGCACTTGTTCCTCATTCTAGTTCAGTTCGTTTTTTTGCTAACCTGGCTCATATAACTAGTGACATCCCATGTATTTTAAACCTTTTCAAAAATCTTCTCTGTAAATACTCAACCAATTTCAACCAAATTTGGGCTGAATGATTCGTAAGGTATCTAGTGTAAAGGCTGTATTTTGTTCCTGCCATTTAACCATCATGGCTTAATAGGATAAAATGCAATAAGTGTCTAATTTTTTTTAAACGAAAATAGATGGAGGATGGAGAAAATATTACATAGGGCGAAAATACTCAGAATGTCTATCTACCTACTTCCTGTTTCCACCAAAATAATCAGAGGACTCCTTATAGACGTTATTGCCCTTAAAGAAGATTTTTGACTAATTGTGTTTTTGCTTATTATATAGAAAACTGTAATAGATAATCAGAAACTGTTATAATATAAAAAATGATCAGCAATACAAGATCCACAAAAATTGCCAAAAATTACTGAAATCATCAGACAACTTCTAGGAGTTATTGCCACTCAATGCAATTTTTGACTAATGCTATTGCTTTTGCCAATTATCTTGAAAACAATGATGAGCAAAAAAGTAAAAATGGTTAGCGATACAAGATCTACAAAATTGTCAAGGTGACCAAAACTATCAGACAAAAACCTGATGAGAGATGTTTCCCTAAAATTATATTTTATGTACAATGGTGTGATTGGTTTTAATAAAATTTGCTATAGAAGCAGCACCATAATTTATTTCATAAATAATGTCATACACCAATCAAAATGTCAGCTAGGGCACCACATGTTGCCATTACAGTCTGGTAATTCTTTATGAGCTATATCCCATATCCAAGGACGATCTGTAAACAAAAAGTTTATAACACAGTCATCCATCTTAAAAATTCTAAAATACTCTAAACTTCAAAAATCATACTTACTAATTTCAAGGGCAATTAATCCTATAATGAGTTGTCTGATGATGATTTAATCAATTACAATGTTTTCTGTAAAACTTTTGAAAACATTACCTCAAATTCATTAGATTCTGGAATGGCAAATTGCCAAAATATTTTCACAAATGTGAAGAAAGTGTGTAAAATCAGTCCTATCAAAATCACTCACTGACTTACCTTCCTTCTGATATGGCTTTAGTGGTAAATCATATGGCAACAAAAGTTTATCTGTATCATTGATATCACTGGAGACAGGAATTGATTTTTTACTTCCCTGTATAAAAGTAAGAAAAATAAAACCAAAATAAAAAAACTAATTTCAATCATATATTTGGTAAAGTAAAGAATAAGCATGAGATTTTATTCTTGTACATGTATATACCTCATGATCATTGATTAATGAGATTTAATATTAGGTAGCATCAGGATATTACTAGCATAAATAAAAGTTTTTTGATGAAATGACTGTTGCACTTTTCACATTCAACAAAACATCACACTTATTTCTGAATTTACATCATTTAGTTTGTTTACATTTTGCCATACAAGTTTTACATAAATCTTATTCAATAATGCAAATTTTTGTGTGTAAATGTTACTGATTTGTCTTCTGATATTTTGCATGGTATTACAGTGCTGCAATAAACGGTTACTTATTGCACCTGATGTTGTAGTAAACAGGGTCATGATTCAATGCATCTGTTTTATGCAAGGCTTAACTTTTACCAAACATAGCATCATAAATTCATATTTAAAGTCATACACACAGGGTTGAATTTGCAAATATTTAAAAAAAAATATATAAAGATTTTACACTTTTAATGGTAAAGTTCAAAAACAAATGCACTAAAGTTCAAGGTATATGAAAAAGTTCTTTGTTCATTGCCTGAATCTCCAATATGGAAAACACATTCAAATCCTCTGATATATTCAGGGTATGTCTGTGTATGTAATTTATACAAATGTTTTAGAATGTGGATTGTTACCAGGATGTTTATCTAACATTGCCAATATTTATCATCTATATTTGTTTGCTTGATTGCATGCATGTAAATTAACTTACAAAGAACTTTGGCAAGAATAAAACTCCAAGTTCATATGACCTTATCATTAACTGACTTCCTTTTTTCTCCAAGGCTCCCCATGCTGCCTTTGACAGATTAGCACTGAAACATTTAAATCAAGTTTACAATGATAACTATTATGTAATATTTCAAATAAGAAGCATATTATATTCTCATGTTAGTTTTAAAGTTAAAATATATATATATGAGAACAATTACAAGACAAATTTGACTATTTTTTCAATTGACTGGTGCTAGCTCAAAACAATGGATTCAATTCTAATTCATATAAGAGCAGCAATCTGACAAAACATTCATTACAGGATTCTTTAGCAACAACAGCGATTTTGTTTCAAACTTTGAAACGAATTTGATGACCTTGACGTGACAAAAGATTGGATGTTGGTCTATCAGAATAGCTGTTAACTTAGTATCAAATCTATAACTGCATATTCATGGTCTCTACTGAATTTATAGTGAGCTGGCTTACTCTAATTGGAAAACTTTGTTACTATAGTTTTTAATTTAACAAAATTTATACAGGTTTTTCTAAGAAATAACTAGTTATGATACAGAAATTAAATAATACCTTGTAACAAGGAACCAGGCAACTTCCTGTGATGTAGGTGAAGGTCGGCAATATGATTTAATGTGTGGCATTGCTCTACTTCTTCCTCTTCCTTTTGATATCCAATGGCTGTAATTGTAATGTTAGGAAAATTGTAAATTTTGCACTCATACCACATCTTCTTATATCTATAACTCATTGGTTAAATTAAACATTACTGACTTCTGATGCAACATAAGGCTTAACAAGTAAAAAATAATATTACATTAAACAAAAGAAACTAGTAAATAGAACCTTTTATAATGAATCTACTGCAACATAGAACAGAATGATATATGTGTAATATTTCTTTGATAATCTTTCGACCTTATTTTTGAAGATGGAGTGTAAAAGTGGCATTAATCCTGATTTTGACTGAAACTATCATATAAAAAAGTTAAATCACTACCTACACAAAACTAGAGGCTCTCCAACATTGAAGACGAGAACAGAATTCATGACAAAAGTCTCTGTTTTTTTTATCTTGTATTGCTGATCATTTAGTCTGTTTAGTTTCTCTCTATCTTCTTTAGTTTTTGCTCAAAACACAAAACAGGGTAAAAAAATCCTCATTTAAGACCAATCACTCCTATAAAGAGTGACAGTCTACTAACTATATCTGCAAAATTTGACTTGTTAGTAGATCTTGCCTTGCTGATCATTTTTGTGATTTAAAGTGTCCATTTATCTATTATAATTTTGATCATATATAAAGGCAAAACGCAAAAAAAAAAAACGTCATTAAAGGGCAATAACTCTAATAAGACGTCGACTGACGATTTCAACCATGCGAACTTATTTGTAGAACTTGTCTTGCTGATCATTTTTGCAATTTAAAGTTTCTCTCTATCTATTATTGTTTTCAATATAGTAGGCAAAAATGAAAACAAATGGTAAAATTTGTCATTTAACTCGTAAAAAAAGTTGTCCGACAGTTTTGATGTTTACGGACAACTGGTAGAGCTAAACATTCTGGACATTTTTGCCCCTGTCAGATTTTCTCTATTCATAACGGTTTTCAAAATAAAAGACAAAACTTGCATTTTACCTCTATGTTCTATTCTAAGCCATGTCGGCCATCTTGGTTGGCAGGTTGGGTCATCTGACACATTTTTCAAACTAGATACCCCAATGATGATTGTAACCAAATTTGGTTAAATTTGGCCCAATAGTTTCAAGATTTTTGTAAAAGTTAACGGACGACAACGACAGACAACGGACGACGGACGCCAAGTGATGAGAAAAACTCACTCCACTCTGTCTCTGAATCAACAGAATTTTAAATATTTATTGCCTTGCTGATAATTTTATTCTTAGTTAAACTGGATAGATACAGACCAAAAGACTGCTTCAATTTTAGCATTTTGCTGTTTTTATCAATTAATGGTGATTCCTGATCAAATTGTTTCTATAATGTAGATTTACTTACTGGAAGTAAGAATGAAGATATGTTTGTTTCTTGGCAACATTAATACTATATGGAATAGAGGCTCCAGCAGGATAACCTTCTAAACTGCATCTTACATTATCTTTTGTTGGAAATATCTGTAATTAGATAGCATTAACCATGAAAAATACCTTAATTTTTAATTCTGACAAAGTTACCGCTTAAATTGTAACTTGCGTGATCTTTTGTTGTAAATTCTATAATTAGATAGGGTTAGCCATGGAAAATCTCTTTTTCTTCTAAGAAAGATAACCTTCTGAAATTATCTTAAATTATCTTGTATTGTAAATTCTACAATAAGATAGGTATAGCCAAAGTAAACTAATATAGGGTACAAAAGAAAGAATGCAAAATGGTTTAAAACAAATAGCATTTTAAAAAAGAAACTGACATCACTTGTTCATGTTCATCATCAGTACAAAGAATGGCTTTGTTATATGTTTCAGTCAAGATAAAAAGATAAATGGAAATTCTAAAGAGCTACCAATGGACATTATTCCATTATCTCTATATGCCACATTCCCAAAATAAAATGTAGAAAGTAGTTATAAAGGATTTAAAAAGGTAGACATTTGTATTTATAAAAACTGTAGATCTGTGATGAAAAAATATCAACACATGAGCTAGATTAAATGACCAATTAAAATGTATTAATGACCTACAAGTTTCAAATCTATTGTTGATAATGGTACACAACTAGATCCCTCTACAGTTGCCAGTGACTGTAAGAACTCGGTGGCAAGCCAGACATCTTTAGTTGCTCCTAATGATCCAATACTGGAATATTGACCAATCACAGGCCAAGATTTCACAAAGTCTTTTTGTGGTCCATGTGTATTTAAAACTTTGCGTAGTCTCATGTGACCAAATTTATGTTTATTTTCTGCCATATGTCTGCCTGGAGATGAACCAATTATAACTACTCTAAAACAAAAGTTTGATTAATTTTAGTCTTCTTTAAAGATTAACATCCTATGTGTTTTGCACATATGTGTGACAGAATGTTGTTTAAAATCAGAAATGTTTATATACTTTTTCATATACTGTATTCATTTATTTTCGTGGATACCAATTTTCCTGGATTCAGGAAAACTATATATTTGTGGGTACATGTATTTGATTTCTTGGATTTGCCACAGTTTGTATACAAACCTTCAGAAAACGTGTACTTTGATGACATTTTAAATTTGTGATTTACCTTTACCCACTAATACCAGAAAATTGGTTTCCAACAAACAATAATGAATCAACAGATCAACAGTATATCTGTTTGGGGTAATTTTTGTGAAAACAGATTGCACTGCAGTAAATTTATAGTTAAACCTTACTTAGCTGTGTTATCTGGTCATTTTCATGTGAGATACAAAATTAAATCTTCAGGAATAAAAAATTATATTATGTCAAAAAGGAATTTTAAAATAACATACTTAGCACTGGACATATCATGATCTGCTATATTTTGTTGCCAGTCCTTCAGTTGGTAGGCTTTATAAGATCCTATGTAGTCTAACAAATCTTTCTTGAAGTTTGTTGGTGAATCCCCTCTTGAGTAATTACTTTTATTCTCCTCTTTCTTTAACTTTGGAAATAATGGACTTATCCACATTCTAAAAACAGAACAAATAAAAAGTTCATAAAAAAAGGCAATTAAACAAAAACAGGATTAATAAATAAGACACTGATATATTGGCCATTCTTTTTCTTTTGACACATTTTTTTATTAAAATAATGAAATTTTCTTTAGTTTAACCATTACTATAAACAGGCTTTCTTTACAACAAATTACATTTGGAGGTCTTCCAATTCAAATTTAATCAAATAAACTACTATACTAAATATATTGCTATGATGTGAGCTTTGAATGAACCAATTCAGATATTCAAAGACAGATAAGTATATGTGTAACCTCAGCATCCTGATTAAAGATGTTTACAATCATCAGGTTGATAAAAAAAGTCATTTCCCATAATACAACATTTCTGACAATACATGTATAAAAAAGAAGATGTGGTATGATTGCTAATGAGACAACTCTCCACAAGAGACCAAATGACACAGAAATTAACAACTATAGGTCACTGTATGGCCTTCAACAATGAGCAAAGCCCATACCGCATAGTCAGCTATAAAAGGCCCCGAAATGACAAATGTAAAACAATTCAAATGAGAAAACTAACAGCTTAATTTATGTACAAAATAATGAACGAAAAACAAATATGTAACACAGCAACAAAAGACAACCATTGAATTACACTCTCCTGACTTGGGACAAAATTATTTGTTACCCTTGAGTCTTCTGGTACCAATCTTTTTCTACCAAGTTAGACGTGTGGATAACAACTCTCATTCCTTCTTCATACAATAGTATCATCATCTTTCTACAATTATATAAACCAGTATTACCCAGAATGCAATTGCTTCTCTCATTCTGTCTTCAAACAGGGTTATCATCATTTTTTCTACAATCATAAAGACCAGTATTACCCCAGTGCTCAATGTAAAATGCTATTTATCTTTTTAATTTCTACACTGCCAACAAAATGAAAGACACCGATGTGACAAGAGGCTGCTGGGGCAAAACAACCCTACAGCCAAAATTTGTGGGATTTTTTTTCCAAGTACATTTTTCTTATCTTTTATTGTTGGGTCCCTTTATTTCCAAATTTTTTCTACGCTGGGCCTACTTTTTTCAAAAAGCTGAATCTACCTACAGTGATAAAATTTATCAGTCAATATTCCTGCAATATTTAAGGTTGTGACAACATAAAAATGGGAATATTTAAGACTTCATAAAAACCTTAAACACCTTTATTATCATCACAAAACTTGTCCTTCATTTTTTTATGAATCTAAATAAACCAAAAGAATTAATTTTGCATGATATTGTAGATTAGTTTCTTAAGATGAATAATTCCATTCATAAAAATAATTGAGTAAATTTGGGTTTTTTTCTTCTTGAATAAACCAACTCTATTTTTCTTTTAGGTAAAGCTACAAAAGTACTCTTCCCCAAAACAAAATAAGAAAAGAAAAATCTTTGCCAAAACAATTTTTTTTAGTACACCCTCAAATTCCAAATTCTCTAAATTTTCAAATTCATGAAAATGTTTTTTAATCGCCAACAATATTTAAACAGCCTCCTCTTAAAAAACATACATGTGTAAGAAATTATTAATTTTAGTATATTTTATTTGAATCTTATGCAATGAAAATATTAAAACATGTAATTGTGATTTTTATTTTGTTCAAAAGTACAAAAATTTAAATAGAATGTATTGAAATATAAAAAAAATCTGTACAACTTCATATTATTTTATACTTACGTGTGATGTGTTCCATATATCATTTCTAATCTTGCCTACAAAGAAAAACATTACTATATATTTGATTTTTTCTTTCATGACATTTAATCGAAATCAATAATTTGATTGTAAAATCTATTACCATGACTACTGTAATACTGAAATGTTTGTGTGCACTTAAGTTATTTTTGTGATTGTTGAGCAATGGAAAAAAATGTGAGATTTATTATTGTGATTTCTGGAAATGCTGTATATAAATAATGATATCAAAATTTAAAAAAAAAAATTGTGAAATCTATCCTAATGCAATTTTCACATTATAAAGACATTGCAAAAATTTATTAAGTGAACTGCATGCATCATTTATTTTTGCTTATTTCTTTCAAATCATATTCAGTATCATCTCCCAAGGGAAGTTTATTTAAAATGGCATTAATTATTATCAAATACAAACTACACACATTAACCACCTTACAACCATAACACATTTGTTTTTAAATATCTTGTATCATATACTGTTTAAATGTGTATACCTGACAAAATTTAATATTGGAGTATTTAGTGGCTTCAATTTCCAAGGCTGTTTTATTACCAGCAGTAAAACCATGTACCAGAAGTAAAGGTTTAGACCTGTAAAAAATAAAGATATACTGAATAATGAAAGAGCAATAATACATAAAACTGGAATAATTAGATTTCTAAAAACAATAAATTTACTGTATAAATTGTCTTGCTGTGCAATCAAAAAATATTTGCATATACACTTTGCCAGTATATTTCATTGGATTTTGCTCTTAATCCACTGTATTAAAGATAAAGTTCAAAGTTTAAGTGATTTTTCTGAACTAACTTCCTGTTAAGTTCTCATCTGAAAATGTTATTGTTCTCTTGATTGAACTAAAAGAGAGAATTGAGTTAAAAGACAAAATTTGACCTTGCCACCTGTTTGCTCTTCATATCATTTAAGTCAGTAATCTTGTCAGTTGTTTTCAACTAAAGCAGTCTGTGTTGAAGGTGTGTTCATGTTTCTCCAACATCTGATATTATTGTATACAGGTAAATAATTTCTTGTTGAAGAAACATGATTTATATGTAATAAGGATTAATGGAATTTACCTATAATTAGAGTTACAGTGAATCCAGTGTAAATTAATTTCTTCATACATACAAACTTTAACAAATTGTTGACTCTGTTTCAGCCAATGACATAGCAGGGGACAGCACACCTAAGTCTACCACAAATCGCATCAAAACAAGGAATGAGCAATATCTCTCATTATCTGAGATAAAGATATTCCATAATGGTCAACCCAGTCATAACAGAATGATTAAGCATCCTTAAAACTTTACCAAGAGATGACTTTAACTTTGCCATGCAGTACTCTTGTCTCAATTTTCAAAATAATATTTTCTTATTTGTCCTAAGACATGTGTAAGTAGTAACTCTAAATCAAGAAAACATAATCTTCAGAATATAGGATCAACCTGAAGATACACATGTATAATCCACATGCAACTGCTGCTGGAATGTTACTGCATACACATGTATTGAGGTTATACATTAAGAGACTAATATGCACCAATATGTATGAGAAAGTTTCTAAAGTTTCAGGATAAATAGGATTACATGCCAATAATGGAGTGAAAGGTCAAAGTATAAGGATAAATGTTTGAAGTCAAAGTAAAAGTAGAGTACAGAAGAACAAATAAGACAACTAGTATATAAACAAACTCTTACAGTCTACATACAGTGTTCTTTTTCCTTCTAAATATTTCAGGGTAAATTGCATTGCATGGGAAAAAGAATATTCACCACAAGCACTTCTATTCTAAAATTCAAACTTTAATCTCAAGTAAAATTACTTGCATGAAATTTCCTATCTATGCTTATACTGATAATGAAAACTATGTAAATTCCCAAATGTGTGCTCTAAACAACATGCTAAAAGTACACAGACTTTTTTCAAAATTTAAAAAAAAAAAATATTTTCCAGGAATGGGACACAGAAGTTCTATAGTAATATTAAATATCACTAATGGAGAATTTGCATGTCTCAACAGGTGTTTCATATCACATGAAAACATATAAAATGACCTGAAAAAATTACAATGGATAAAACAGTTTCAAAACCTGAATTAATCCTTAAGCATAACCTTGAAGAAAGCATGAGGTAGGAGCATTATCTTTTAACTTTATAAAATGATGAACACAATTAATGGTCAAGTTTGGAGCGATACTTGTAAAATGTCTATGTTATATATGTAGTGTTTTTTTGTTTTTTTTGTAATTTGAGTTTGAGTGATTTCCCTGTACCCCATATTGGAGGACAAGCTAGTTTATTTTCTGATTTGACTGACCATATTAAAACATCTGGTACAAGCAAGTTTGATAAAAAAAAAAGGTTACTTTTATAATATATTGTAGTGATGAAATACATGCAAGGCTTTAGCAGATTAAAATTGTTCAGTAAACAAATTTTCCTAAATTTCTAGGAGTTATGATAGCAAATTGAATTTGGTTAATTTGTGAAGGAATTTGTGCACATTGCCCTACAATAAGGCATCAAAGGGAAATAACTGGAACTCAAATTATGTCAATCAAAATATATCTCCATTAACTCACTTTTAAAGCATTATCTTATACCACAAGTTTTAAAAAGATAACTATTAATAACTAGAGGCTCTCAAGAGCCTGTGTCGCTCACCTGATTCTACTTTGGTTTTGGAAATCATGTAAAAATAGATTAAAATCATAACAGATACCCTAATAATGATTGAGGCCAAATTTGGTTTAATATTGGCCCTGTAATTTAATCAAAAGCAGAAGACTTTTGTAAAGTTTACAGAAATTACCAATAAATTCATTGAAATTGTAGAAAATGACTTTAGAGACAATAAATCCGACAAGATGTCAATTGACAATTTTGCTCATGTTGACTTATGTGTAGATTTTCTTTTCTTGATATTTTTGCAGTCTACAGTATATTTCAATCTATAAAGATACATGTATTTAGGTCTTCATCTTGGATGATGGTTAGGCTACAAAGTAACAACACTTGGTCAGCACTTCATTAGGAACATTCATGCCATCATGGCATGTTTGGTTTCATTCTATTCAGTAGAAGAAAATATTTGTATGTATTTCCCATTGGGTCCTATGTTAAACTAAGCCCCCCTCTGGCGGCCATCTTGAATGATGGATCGGCTTCAAAGTAACAACATTTAATCAGCACCTTCAGGCCATGTGAGCTAAAAAGGGAAATGTGATTCCTTTCATGAAAGGGTTAATCTTAAAAATTCTGTCTGACACATAAAATAAAGGATGTATTTCCCCTATAATTGAATCAGAAAAAATGTCTAATTCTAAAATTCATATGACAAAATTATATATAAAGATGACTCATCTTTTAAAAGTAATCCATTATTGTTTTTCTGTTTGCAGTCTGTTCAAAATAATTGCTTGGATAGCCTTTGTCACAACAGCTATTTCTCACATGCAATGTGTAAAAAATGCCAACCTTTGGAAAAGTATTCAATATCAACTCAAGTTGGTTGAAAGTTCTGAGGGAAGATGTGACTGTGGATCCCAAGATTTGAGTAAGTAAATATATATATATATCTAAACTTTCCTATAAAAGATACACTCAATCAATGTAATGTAATGTTCGTCATTCATTTATTAAGAGGGGCAGGAGGAACTTTTTCAGGAAGTCAGGATTGGACCTTTATTTTGGGGGGAATTCAGGATTAACACCTATCTGGACTCAGTAATTAAAAATTAATTTTTCAGGATCCAGAAAAGAATGCTTTAATTTGGGGGGGGGGGGGGGGGGAATTCTGGATCTTTTCAGGAATTGGCGATGACATCCCCTCTTAGATACATACAATTTCCTATAGGTCTGTATGAAGAATTTGTAAAGCTCACTGAATTTAAGTTTCCACAAAAAAGAAATTGGTACCCACAAAAATAAATGAATCTACAATACCTTTATTACAATAAATGACAAAAACTGACAGTCTTGGTTCCTTACTTTGATCATTTACAATTACCAATGCTGTGAATAAACAGCTTTGAGCTCTACCTCCACCTTTCTTCAAAGTGAAAGTGAAAAGTAAAATGAAGACAAATAATAAAACAATGCTAATCAAAATAACAACAAACATTCTCGAGTTTAATGACCATAAGTTCTTAAATGACAATTCAAAACTGACAATTTATTGTATTCATATGAACTTACATCGCAATATCATTAAGCAGTATTTTTAAATTTTCATGAACTATCTTACAATGTATTTTATTATTTATTTTAGACAGTCATAAAATGGTTGGGTTTCTAGTCAGAAGTTCCAAGCACATACAAAATTTCAACGGAGTAGTAGTCTATGATACAGTCATCACTAATACGGGCAGTAGTTACAATCCTTCTAATGGAAACTTTATCGCCCACTATGAAGGTCTATATTTCATTTCATGGACAACACTTACGGAGCCTAACAATTACTTCATTACTGATTTGATACACAATAGTAAACAAATTGTGAGCAATCACGCTTCAGCCAGAGGAGTATCAACAGAGTATATGACAGCTACACAAAGTGTTGTACTTCAATTAGCAGCAAAGGATGAAGTCTTCATAAAATCACGTGGGACCCAAAAATCTTTGTATGGTCAAGGTTATTCTACATTCACTGGTTTCAAAATCTAACAGTATTAAAATTGTTGAATAAACATAAATGCAATTAATTTTGTATTTAAGTTATTATTTTCTTTATAAAAAAAACAGTTATTGATATGAATAAAGAGATGTGAGGTAATGTCAAAGAAAATCAACTCAACAATACAAATAACCAAAAGACATCTAGAAGTCAAGATATAGTCTTCATCAAAAGACATCTAGAGGTCAAGATACAGTCCTCATCAAAAGACAGGTGTCTATACAATACAGACAAAGCATAAATATACATGTCAAAATACCAAATAATAAAAGTCATTAAAACAAGTAAGAGACTTGCAGCAGTTTATCTTGAAATCACTCATGTCCATACAATATAGCCACAGGACTTTGTGTCCCATAATCTTTAGAAGGTTGTTTGACATGAACATTTCTGTACTTTAAACACACAGGTGCAAATATTGTTCTATATTTTAAAATTGAAAATATGTATCCTATCTTTTTGTCATCATTTGTAAACACATTTCAAATGTAGGAGAACTGTGAATAAACTGTGGAAGGCAGATTTCTGGTCACAGCTGTTTAAGAACAAGGTTCACATTAGGCCAAATATGGCCTTGAATTTCTACTTTATCATAAAATTTCTAAATGGCCATAATTTGGTTCTTAAATAGATCTATTTCAAAAACCTTACTACTAGGTTAAACAAATCTCTTCATTAGAGTACATTATAGGCTTCAAAGTCAGCACATTTTGGGTATATTGTCAAAAACCATTATTTTGATGATATTGAATCCCTAGACACATAAACTTTCTGCATCAGGGGTGGCGGCCAGAGTAAATTATTTTAAAACTGTTCAGAATTATTGGAAATTTGACCAAAACTGACATTACAACACAAATGATGCATACTTGAGGGATCATTTCTTCTATCATTTTTAAAGTGATTTGCCAAAAAGAAGCTATTTTGTTTAGTTATTTAGTTATACATGTATCACAACCCCAAAATGACAAATGTAAAAACAATTCAAAAACGGCCATAAGACTGTTTAAATAATTTTTAATGTTACTATCCTTTATTCCTCATTAGCACCATATCATTTATTAGTAAAAATTATCTATTTATTCCAATGCGGATAAAGTCTGAAATAATACAACTTTTTCGATATGTCACAAACCAGTCAAAGCTCTCTGGGACCCTGTTTAAACAATGTTTTGTGCATGAAACTTTTCAAAGAGACATGTTAGGACCACCAAAAACACTTTCAAAATTAGGATCATAATCTTAAAATTTCAAAATGTTAAGTTTCTAAACTCGCTCCTCCCTCAGCTCAATACTAATGACCTTTGTTTATGTGACACTTGACACAAATAGGAAGTTGTCTAGGTTACTGTTTTTTTTCCGGATTGGACTAAATAGCATTAGGTGCACATGTATTATAAACCACTTTAGAAATAGGGAAAATGCATACATGTTAACAATACCATAACCACAAGAATTCCATCAAATTTATAAATAACTTCAAGATAAATATATAAACCGCAAACCTGACACGAAGCTGGCAAAGTTCCCATAATTGGTGACAGTAGATCATAGTTATATCAAAACTCTTTCTATATGAAATTTATAGTATTTTGGCCTGATTAAAATTGAATCATAATTTCCTGTCCATATGCACATCTACATAGTATGTCCTTATTATCTACACAGTTTCATGAAATTCTGTTGTGTGGTTTCAGAGGAGTTGCGATGACAAACTGTTGCAGTAGTATATTGAGGCCAATAAGTTCAAAGGGGCATAACTCCTAGAAAAAAAATTAATCATAATTTCCTGTCAATATGCACATCTACATAGTATGTCCTTATTATCTACAAAGTTTCATGAAATTCTGTTGTGTGGTTTCAGAGGAGTTGCGATGACAAACTGTTGCAGTAGTATATTGAGGCCAATAAATTCAAAGGGGCATAACTCCTAGAAAAAAAATTAATACATAATTTCTTGTCGATATGCACATCTACATAGTATGTCCTTATTATCTACAAAGTTTCATGAAATTCTGTTGTGTGGTTTCAGAGGAATTGCAATGACAAGAACAGGACGGACGGACTGACAGACAGACGGACAGACAGACGGACGGGCAGACGGACGGGTCAAAAACATTATACCCTCCACAACTTCTTTGCGTGGGTGTAATAAGAAATATACCCAATGCTTTTGTTGACCATAAATGAAGTAATTATCTCCCCTTCATAAGCAATATTACCTGAACTGTTCTGGGTACTGTTTCATTAACCATGGAATTTCAAACATGTAATTAAACTGAAAATAAACAGAAATAACTGTTAAGATGTGCTGCTACAAAATATTGTGTATACAATTCAAATATTTTTCTAATAATAAAAAAGACACTAGTACTTTATAAGAGAGCAAAAGCATGACATCCAGAGTTGTTACTGGCATCAATAATCATATCCGGTTAGCAGATATACTGTGTACCTTTGCAACTTAAAGGTTTCTGATCCTTCAAGTCCTTATTTGAAATTTGAATATATTTGCTCCCCAATATATATTCACTAGTTAACATACAGACTACTGCTATGTCAATATAAATAGAACTTGATTTAAAGATCACTGCACTCACTTAATATGTTTGTAGCTCTACCTTCTAGCTTTTATCATTGAAAGCTGGTCAATTCTTTTTTTAATATCCATACTCATGTGGAAATTTATTTGGTGAGTGCAGTGGAATTATCTGAAAATTTTGTCTCACCACTGAAAGAAACTAGAATCTAAAAGCTTTGGTTATTCACAACTGAAATAAGGCAGTCTAATACTGTAAATAATTCAGAAATTTTTACATGTATTTATTATCCTGATTGTTGAACAATTGACAAAAATGTGAGATTAATAATTACCTTTTAAGGAAATGTTGCTTACAAATAAGGCTATCAAAGTTAAAATACTAGTTTTTATTTTTCAGGAAACCTATCTTGTCACAATTTTGGCAATTCTAAAAGCATTGCATTAATTTTGAGAATTTACAGTTCTCCTATAGGTGCGATACATGAATCTCTGAATACTGTATTGTCCAAAATGATTTGTGTTCTCAAAACTTATAAATATCCAATAACATATAATTTGATTTGTAAAGGTAAGTAGAACTGTAAAATTGTCAATACATAATATACTGTTTGTCAAATAGTCAGATTTTAAGATATGATGCAAAAAGGAAGTAATGCAATATATTGTATGGCACATTATTTCTCATCTGCATTTATATTGTTCATTAAGATGCATGTATTATAACATAAATCTGAATTTGTGAGCAAAATTCATACACTAAATAATAATTATCCCATAAATATACTAACAGACTGTACATTTTGTAATAAGGTGAATGAGGGCAATGCTTCAGATCAATTTATTCTTATAATATAAAAATAAGGAGATGTGGTATGATTTCTAATGCAATGTGACAACTCTCCGACAGAGACTAAATGACATAGAAGTTAGCAACTATAGGTCACTGTATGACCTTCAACAATGATCAAAACCCATACCACAAAGCAAGCTAAAGGCCCTGAAATGACAAATATAAAACAATTCAAACGAGAAAACTAACGGCCATAAGACTGTTTAAATAATTTTTAAGGTTATTATCCTTTGTTCATCATTAGCAACATATCATTTATCAGTAAAAAACAGAATGATCTACCACTGTTAAAATACATGTAGTCAAAATGCTGATATAACCACAAGAATTCCATCAAATTTATGAATAACTTCAAGATAAATGTATAAACCACAAACCTGGCACGAAGCTTGCAAAGTTCCCATAATTGGTGACAGTATATCTGAAATAAAAAACTCAGATAATTATAGTATTTTAAGAAACCCATTTAAAATTTTTGAAATCAGCTATTTTCAAGCACAGGTTGACATTAATTAGCATTTTCTGAGTTTGTAAGTTGAAAATAAATATGTGATTCAAAAGAAAGGTGCTGTCCATGAAATCCTTAGAAATTAAAATATGAGCACGAAACAGCATTTTAAATAGCTGTTGCTTCACATAAGAAAACATGTTCTTCAAACAATGAGAAATTGCCAAATATATAAAAGAAAAAATGTCTTTCATCTGTATTGACCAGGTTTATATATTATTATTTATGTTTAGAATTGATTTGATACACCATTTTTCATTCATTAGTCTGTTTATATCAGTTGTTTTCAAATCGTTTGATGTTATTGAGCTTTTAATTTTGCCATTTGGGTCAATATCCCTCATGGACCTTGAGATGAGGAACACAGATTTATGACTCTCATTAAAAAATTAGTCCGCCATACAATTGTGGAAGCTGTGATTTTAAAAATTGACATAAATGAACTAGGACTGGTGTTTTATAGAGCTGATGTGATGTGAAAAAAAGTATAAAAAAATAAACCTGAACAAATAATTACAAAGGATATATTTTTTAATGATTTTTATGGTCAGAATTTTGGGATTATTTCCTGAGGAGAGTGACATTTTTCACTATCTTTCGGGGTTGGGCACTTGACGGGAAAACGAATCACACTTGCCACCCCGAAAATCGCACCACACATGTGCAAGTGTCTCAGCTTCAAAATGAGCCATCATACATATCCAAGTTTACGATATGGCCTGAGCAACAGAAGAAAACATTAACATTACCGCCTATGGAGAATCTATTACGCATATTGCCCCATTGAATAAGGGACTTTCCTTTATGAATTTTCCATGACGTTCAGTATTTTTGTTATTTTACTTTTTTCTACTTAAGGTGACCAAATGCACAGACAATAAACATGTAACGATAATATCAACTAATTTGTGTGTATTTTGAAACAATTTCCAGTTTCAAATAAAAGGGTAAGTTAGGTAATGTTCCCATAGCAAAAGTAACAAAAATGCACTTTGTCCTGCTTAGCATACCCCCACACGTAATTCAAAGTATCGTAAAACAAGAAGTATGCGTTTGACAGATCTGACACACACATTAGAACTCATCAATGTTGAACTGCTGAACAATTATGAATTCATTCTGTTGAGTAGTTTCTGAGGAAAGTTTTAAGTATATTCAACATATTGAAAAAATCAAAGTATCGGCACACAGGGAGTAGGTATCTTACAGATCCAAAAAGTCTTTGTTGAAACTCATCAGTGTTGAGTTGTTCACCAAATATCAAGTCATTTGATTAACCAGTTTCTGAGATAAGTGTAACAAAAATATTTGTTGGACGAACAGACGGACAGACAGACAATTAATTGCAGTACTAGTATAATCCCCACTTTTAGAGTGGGAGTATAATTACATGAAAGTTGACAAGACACACAGCACTTGTAGAAATGCAAATTATAGATATGTTTATGTCATATTATGATATATGTAGTAAATGATAGATGATATATGACTGATTATGGTGTACATATACACCATATGGTATTGCCTTTAGTACAAGATGAATTACCAATAACACTGGAATTTTTATTCAAGATTAAATATCTTCTCTCACCTTTGATATCCATTGCTAAGACTTGGTTGTATTGGCTCTCTATACCATGGACTTTGGTTAAGAAGAAGCTATATGGTTGACCTTCACTATAGACCTGATCTGGAGACAGACGACCTGTTATGGATATCCTTGGTTTTTTTCTTGGTGGCGATTCTTCTCTGGTTCTACCACTCCCTGGTGTTTGTTGTTTATCATCTGAAACAAGGCATGTTTCCTGAAGAATGTGATTTTATGGTACTTAACTGAAATCAAGCTATAATATCTTTACTTATGTGTAACAAGAGTGAACAATCAGACGTCTCAACTGTATGTTGAAATTCTATTTAATTTTGATGAAGGACAAACTCTACTACATGTAAAGCTATGGTGAAACATACTGTTAGAAAAAAGAATTTATTTTAAGTGAACCGATGAACCATGAAAATGTTTCAAAAGTCAGGAGGTGACTCCATCAAAAAGAAATACACATCTTGTTTATCAAATATAATTAGACTATTATCAATAAAGTTACATAAAAAATTCCTATCTATAAACAACACCCAATATGTATAAATGAACCACAAAAATGAGGTGAACCCTGTTAAACAGTTATGTTCACTTTACAATGATTTTGAAGGTAAAAAAGAAATAAGTAGTTGACCTGTTACTTCAGAACTGCTCTAATTATAAAAGTTCAACATTCAACACCAAATCGTGAAAATTAAGTCAATTATATAGACCTATTACTTTAATAAATAAAATTATGAAAAACTATCATGATTACCAAACCTAATATGATTTTTTAAATCATGAATATAAAATCATGTTTAGGTTTAACAGAGACACTTAAACCTTATATTTATGATTCTGTAGACAAATTACATTTGATTTAATCCTTTTTACATATTATAACTGAAAAATTAATCTTGCCATGTGACTAAACAATGAAATGAAGCAAGCAAACCAACCAGAACTCGATTAGTAATTCTTCACCACATTCACTGAGTTGGCATACCTTATAAAAAGTTATAATAAATGTTAATTTTGTACATAATTAACAAGTTATAATAAATGTTATTTTTTTTATTTAAATAACAAGTCATTATAAATGTTGATTTGTACATAAATAACAAGTTATAGTAAATGTTAGTTTTGTACATTGATAATTAATAAATGGTCTTTTGTTGAAATATTTACTACTATCTGATATGTGAGGCATTCACAATCTTTTTCAATTTTCTCTGATGTAAATAATGATAGAATTATGTGTACATGTATGCAGCATTTCCTGAAATCGCAATAACCAATCTCACATTTTTGTCCATTTTTCAACAATAATACACAAATTTCAGAATTTAAAGTACATAACTAAATCTTATATGTTTATTTAGCTATTTAATTACCTGGATGGCTGAATTCTTGAAGATGAGATGGATTTTTCCTGTAACATTTTGACCCATACTGACAAGGAGGTCTCTTTCTACTAACTGTCTTCTTTTCCTCTTCAAGTAAAACTGTCTGTTTCCTCTTCAACCCACTAGATGGTGAGGATTTATACTCAGAATGTTTGCCTTTCTCTACTGGGCTGTCAAATCTATTTTTAATATCAACATTTTTGGCCTCTGGACTGGAATCAATCTTATCTAACCAGTTTTCTATTTCTGTAAATGACTTAGTTTTTTTCTCAGAGGACTTAGTCAAACTTTCTGATGTCAGCTTTGTCCTCTTGTTTAGTGACTTAGACAAAGTTTCTGGTGACAACTTTGTCTTCTTGTCGATTGACTTAGTCAAAGTTTCTGGTGATGGCTTTGTTCTTTTGTCAAGTGACTTAATCGAAGTTTCTGAAGATGGCTTTGTTCTCTTGTCAAGTGACTTAGTCAAAGTTTCTGATGATGGCTTTGTTCTGTTGTCTAGTGACTTTGACAAACTTTCAGATGATGATTTTGCTGACTTATCTAGTGACTTAGTCAAAGTTTCTGATGATTTTTTACTTTGTTTAACAAATGATTTACATTCGTTTTGTTCCAATGTGGATTTCGATGAGTTAAGGAATGAAGATTTTCCTTTCCCTTTAGAGGTCCCTTTCAAAATGAAATATTCTTCACTTTCCTCTTCAGACTCTGAAATCTCATGAACTTCACTTCTTCTTTTACTTAAAGATGGAAGCTTTACCTGTGACTTGTGTGGCGATTCAGTGGTCAAGTCACTATCCTCTGGTCCAACAGTAATATCCGAATCTGTATCTGATACATGATGACCTCCCTGTGCAGACATAAGTTTAAAATGTCAATTTCTACAAAAAAATTATGAAATAAATAATTTGATATTGATATATATGATGTCATAACTAAAATAACGTCACAAATAAAATCCCTTACAACAGAACCAAAATCGGAAACGTTACATTATTTCGTTTCTTTTTTTAGAACTTAAAATATGTTTGAAATATTAAAAAAAATAATTTATATAGACTTCGTCCCCTTTCACAGGTAATGCCTGCCTCATATTAATTCAACAAGTATTTGAAAAAAATATGGTGCGAACAAACCCAGGAGGCGAAAGTGTGGGGAGCGAACAGACCTGATACTAGATAACAGTAGAAAAATCAATATAAAAATCAATTTACTAATGAACTCAAAATCGTTTACTTTTTTCTAACAGTTGCACTTGCACAATACCCTGTTCCTGTTCTGTTGATGGATGCTGCCATGTTGCAAGTCATGATTTCCAGAAAATTTGTATATATGATTACTAAAAAGAATAATGACAACATTACAAGGAAAAAAATTGTTATATGTCGTCGAAAATAATATTTTGAATACCTCGTCCTCTTTCACAGCTAACACCTGCCTCATATTAACATGAGCATTGTGACATGGCAAATGTACTGGAAAATGCACAAATTCGAAAGTGGTCTTTTGTAGAAGAAAGAACAATTTGTACTTTATCGTTTAGTTTATGACAATTGTACTATTTTAGTTACTTAAATTGACTTCTTCCTGATTGAAAGATTACACCTTTGAGCTCTCTCAAATAATTTAGCTGTTCAGGTTATTATTTTATTTCATTGAACAATCTGTTGCCTTCTCCAAACCAACATGGTTAATGCAAAGGCGCATACATTATATGAGGGATTTGTGTGATTGTTTCGAAGGGAGATGTAAGCAGTTGTCTTTTGTCATTTGAGTTCTGAAGTTGACACTGACAAATTTGATTAAGTTGTCATTAGTTTGTTTTAAAAAACTCACACATGTGCCAAATCAGCATTTGTTTACTATTTATTTTCGGATTTTAATATTTCATGTAAACCTCTAACTATTTTATTTTGACAAACGGTTACCAAAGGATGTCAATTTATATAACAATTAATGATTTATTCAAGTTCATTTTATTCTAATACATAAGTTTTCTTTTAAATACGAAACCATCCAATTGTTAATGTCAACAAAAATGGTGGACAGGAATGAACATTAAACAAATTATTCTAAAAGAAAATGATATTTTCAGATATATAAAAAACTAAAGAAGCCAAAATTAGCAAACTTTGAACCTTTTATTTAAAAAAATAATTGAAGTCTGCATTTTACCTACTTAAATCACCGCATGGTAAGTAAAAAGAGAGTTTAAAGTGCCTTGGCCATGTTCGAACATGCATTTTCCCAGCGGGTTAATTACTTTTGATATTTAAAAACGAATTAAAGACGTCTTGGGTCTGTCAAATAAAATTGGAAACCCATCCAACTAAAAGATTCCTAGATTTTCTATCTTTTTAAAACAGTAATCACAAATTGAAAAAGACACCAACATGACCAAGATGTACAGATAGTTATAATTGTAAAATATTGCAGTTTTAAAATGTTAATATCTAAGAGAGAACTTTATGTGTTGCCCAACACTGCACAAAGCTTTGGCACGAATCCTGGCCCTTACTTGATGTGACAAACGGTAATGTCTAGCTAGCTAGCCCTGATGTTTTATAATTTTCTCTGGCAGTGATACAGGAATTATTATAAAGTTTTCCTGGATGGTTCTCTCTTGGGACTCCAGCTTCCTCCACCATTAAAATCTGACTTCCACGATGTAGCCAATAGTGCTGAAATTGCATACCTGTCAACTGACCCAGATCCTGCGGGTGTGACCCAAGATTTTCACAATTCTGAGGGGTCACCCGGGACACCCGCGGGGTGGCCAAATAACCAGGGAATTCGAAAAATAACCCGTTTTCACCCGGATTCCTAAGCCTTCAGTCTGATTTCATATAAAGTGATTTTCCTTTGAAAATTGAAATCCCGGCAAATTCGTAATTCTTCCTGGACAAGAAGTTCAACTAGCTGTGTTAACTCAAACCAAGTGACCCATTTCAGTGCATGGCTTCACTTGACAGCTTTGGAGTCAAACACACTGTTAATTGACACCAATTACCTTAGCTTTAGGTCGTAAATAATGTGTATTTCAAAGTTGTTTTAAAAACAATTTGATTTACTTCCCCTTTTTTGTCAATTCACAATATACTCCTTCAACTTATGTTTTTTTTTTGTAAAAATTTAAATCTAAAATGAATTGAATGCAAAAAACATATCAGAATAATACTTTTACTTATTTTTCTACCTTAGAACAATTAAAAAATAAAAATTTTGAAAATTACTTTTTTCGTCTATACTTTAATTGTTTAACTTTATTTTACTATATTCTAATTATATATAATATCAACATATGATATTTTCTAATTTTGAAAAGCTGCACAGATGTATGTAAAGAAAACACAAATTGGCACATTGCATGTCATGGAATGAATATGAAAAGGAATTAAGGCAGTGGAATATAAATCTATCAATGGCCTTCAAGTGCAATGAAATAATAATATGTACAATTTTAAATTACTTAACCATGTGGACATGTTTTGGAAACTTTGATATAAATTATAAGAAAAATGTCCTCTAAGTACTGAAATTCAACTCGAAAAGTTTGTACGCGTTATAATTATGACCTGAGATTTCAGTCTTCTATGCAGGTCATGACCTGCATTTTCATTGTCATAGGTTGACAGGTATGAAATTGGCCTTAAACACCAACAATCAATCAAATAAAGATTTTTATCTCTTTGCCAAAAACTCTTACATAGATTCAAAATATTAGATTTAAAGAAAACAAAGGTACAAATGATGGACAATAATATCATCTAAAAGTTAAAAACCAAATACTCTGACGTACATGTAATGATAACTTTTGGATTCCAGTGTATTACAAAAACTTAATATTGATCAATGAACAAATGCATATGCCATTCATATTTTAACAGTATGATCAATACATGTCAAATGTTGATGTAAATAATACAAATTGATATACAATTTCTGATACATATGAATGTACATGTGTATAATGTCTTTTTGGAAATGTATTGGAAAGAAATCAATTGAATGAAATATATGTAAAATAAGTGAGTTTTAAATAGAAAAATTGTTTTTATTTTCACAGAATCATGGCAGAAGTACATATCATAGGACAGATTGTTGGTGCTAACGGATTTCCAGATCATAGTTTGTTTTGTAAATGGGGAATACATACAGGTACATTTGTATGTTAAAATAGAATAATTAAACAACATACATGTACATGTACAATATAGTTGGACTGATGTTTGATGAATTTTGATTATTTAGAAACTTCTTTCATTACTTATTTATATCTAAATACTTCTAAAAATGAATCTTAAAGCTACGTTTGGATGACTGTGTTTAAATTTTATTTGTAGTATATTAGCACTTAATGATAAGTGATAACATTGTATATATATGCAAATTCTACTGCTTCTTTTCAAATTATTTTTTACCTTCATTGTTATTGAACTATAAGCAATGTGCATGATAAAAGTGTATACTTACACTCACCAATGAAGACCAAAAAGTCAAATTCAAGTGGTAGTTGTTAGTTTTTACACTATAAGATATTGTTTCTGTAAAACTTCATGTACCTCTTATATCAATTCAATTTTATAATACTTATAATTGATATATTTTGTATTGTCAGGAGGAGCATGGAAAGCTTTGTCTGGACTAAGAGAAGGGCAAACACAAGTAGATAACCCACAAAATTATGATGAAGCATACTGGGCTCATCCAATAGATGTTCACTTTACAACCAAAGGTTTACAAGGTAATTTTTTCAAATGAAACAATTCTTAATTTTAGTGTCTTTACGGTGAGGGCATTCTATGTATAAAATTCTTTATACTATCTGTCACTATGCCTCAAAGTAGTTTCTTTTCAAAAAGTTTAGCTTGTATCAGCAAAATCTTTTAACATTTAATGGTTTTGTTATTGACTAGTAGGCACACAAAGCGGTATGATTTAAGTACAGTAAGCACTTGCCTACAGTTAACTTGACTTTTTAAAGTTTATTGCTAAAATGAAGGGTATAAAGCTATACTTAAAAAATATTTTCTAATAACAATGCATTTCACTTTTTCTGATATAAGCAAAAGGGGATGTACATGTAGCTATCCAATGAGACAGTTATCCAACAACACAATAAAAAGACATCAGAAGTCCACATACAGTAATCAACAATAGACAGATGTCCATATAAAATGTCATGCTCTTGAAAAGAATAATAAAAATTTAACAAAAACTATATCAGAGATCATCAATACCAAATTCCCTAAATGACAAAACATTAAGATTTTACAAAAAACAACCACTGATGAGGTTCTTGACTTTGAACAGGCACATGGACATGTGATAGACTGTAACTACTGTTGTATTTTGAGATATACATGTAAACCTCCCCCTTTTCAGTTTCTATCAATGGAATTACAATGAATTCATGATAGGGTACTATGATAATAAGTACAAAAAACAACTAAGCTCTATAAACTCTATAATAGATAATAAAACACAATACATGTAATAAACAAAATTGCATCAAGGAATGTTATGATTTTATGAATATATGATTGTCAAGTTTAACATTAATGTTCCATGTAGACTATACAAGACATGATGATGCTTAAATCCTTTAATTTGATAATCTTTGTTAATTGAATTCTGGTCCATGATTTATACTCTGAATTTTTAACCCCATACGGATGTCAAATGAAAATGCTTCTAAATTCATATTTTACCAAATAGCTCAGAAGTCACAAATGAGGTAGACAGTACTTAAAGAAAGCTTTTATGTGTTTCTCAGACTGATGGTATACCTGTTCCACACTGACATGCCATTCCAATTAGGATGAAATATAACAACCAGAAGAAATGGGAATCTGTGGCTAACATTCATTTTGAAATTTATTTATTTTGGCTTCCATATGCCAAAACATATAAAAGCAGAAAATTTCTGAAATTTGAATAAATTGAGATAATGTTTATATTTCAAAGACAAAACAACAAAATAACACCAATACACACTTGTACAGTTCTCTTGTACAGATGTTAGTAGAATATACTTTTTTAGCATTATAAATGGCTTGTTCTATACCACACCATTCAACACTTTAAGTATTGAGGACACTTTTACTTAAAAGCCAAAATGGAGTCCTTATTAACCCACTGCTTGTTACTTAGAAATAAGATAAATCTGTAAATAAATTTTAATTCTTTTTTTTTAGGTTGGCCAAAAATTCATTTTCAAGTTTGGCATCAAGATTCATTTGGAAGGAATGAACTATATGGATACGGATTTTGTCATGTGCCTACATCACCTGGTACCCACAAAATTTCATGTCCAACATGGCGACCGGCAGGAACATTTAGAGAACAAGTTTCTCAATATTTTGTTGGTGGAGGACCACAGCTGAAGAATCCTGATCTGATTTACAGTGGAGCTGATAGATACAGACTAAATACAGTTGCCATGGGCAATGTTCACATGAATATAGGTGTTGTTCTTAGAAACTTTGACAAATATGGAATTGAATGTTGATTTTTAAAAAAAAATACTGATAAAAGTAATCAGTACATTAGTTTCCTTGAAATGTTACCAGAGGCATACACGAATTTTCAATTCAGAAATATCAATAGCCCTTTCCTTAATTCATTTTTGATATTGTGAATTTATTGGATACAAATTGTTTTTTTAAGTCAGCACCAAATTTAAATTGCTGTTCTCCATGGAATGTGATTTCTGATGTGGCATATTAGCAAATTATGAAATTATATATTAATATGATAAATTTCAAACAATAATTTATAATTTGTATCCATAAATCAAATGAATTAGCCTTTGTATGCCTCTATTATTCCAGCAATTATATTATGGTCATTTGGTTAGAACATTTTAATTGACCAAAGTTATAATAAAAAAACCATGTTTAACATTGAAAGGAATGGAGGGTCAATGTTCTTAATTTATTTCTATTATGTACATGTATTATGTAATTATGCTGATAGTGATTTATTATCCAAAAAATTTATTCTTTGATTTCTCATCAATCAGGATTTTCCATTTTAAATTTATCAGTAATTATACAGGCATCATATATAATAATATAACTTTAGTAAGATTTATGATGTATAATTATGTCAGTTCAAGAAAATCCAATAATTCAATTATTTTTTGTCTGGCTGTCAAAGATTATGAGGGTTTCTTTATTTTTTTAATAATTTTTTTTTGGTGATTTGTAAAAGGGTTCACCAGTCAGTCTCCAGTTATAGATACAATGTTGATGTTTGCAAGTGGTGCAAGAATATGGTTGTTTGGAGAGAATATTTTATCGGTTAAATAAATTTTTAAAAAGTAGAAATGTTGTATGTTGCTAAACATGTCATTTCAAAGGAATATCTGTATTGATTTATGATCTTGTCCATGCAAAACTTATGTTACAAACAACAATTGCTTGATAACATGAAAAAGAATATTGTCAATATTTCAACTCTCAAAGCATGTTTATCAACATTTTATATTTACCAAAAACACTGTATTTGAACTAAATAACATGGTAATGGAAAACTTATTGCAGCTTTTGGTGTTGTGAATAATTTCCAAATGCTATACATTCTCTCTTGAAACTTGTATTGATTCAACAAATGTTACATTTATTCTTTTCATACATACAAATAGTTCACATGACAGTTTGAATATATGTAAGTAGCAAATTAGCAATATGTAAAGTTTGTAAATAAATTATATATATTTCAAACATCTTATTTTTTAGTGGTTATAAAGGCACTTTACTTGAAGTGGTTTTAATTGAGTTTTTAAGATATCCAGTAGTGATTGGTGAACTCAATGGATCACAAATGACAATAAACAAGTGTCACAACAAAATGAATCTACCAGAGTAGTAATATCTTTTACTTTTCTGAAAATATACTTATGATTCAATGGTTTTTCTCTTGCCTGCAACTTTCCTTGAAGAATGCAAGACATAGGGATTACTATCTGGAGGTGGTGATGGACTATTTTTTATGAGCTTTATATTTCAGAGGATAGAGACTTAGATGCTTCATACCTTGTAAACAGATGCCTTATATGACGAAGTTTTCATCTGTCTTATGTCCTTTTGCCTTAACATCATTTTCATGGTTCACTACTGTTTAAAAAACTGTATAGTATTTTTGTCAGGTGAATCTCTCTCTTATTATGAATAACATGATAATTATATTTGGTATATGGGTTCCTAACCTTGCAAGGTCTACATGTCCGTCATACAGGGTTCATCTGACCTCTATCTCATTTCATTGGGTAAGTTTTCATGGTCAAGTCAGTATCTCAAATACATTAAATCAGAAGATCAACCATATTTGATGTATGGAATGATTGTAAGGTGTAGATGTTAGTCTAGCAGGTATCATCTGACCTTGACCTCATTTTCATGGTTCATTATTCAAAAGCCACTGCAAGGCAGGGTTCACCAAATAATGAAAATCAAGGGTGGAGGAGGGATGTCAACGATTTTCACGCTACATAAGTGGTAGTGATCCCTGTAAGCAATAAGTCAACTAAATTTGGTGGTTTGAATCATTTTATAGTGTTCATGTCTGTCTGCCACATTCCATGTGATCTTGCCCTTATTTTTATGCTTCATTGGTCAATAAACTCATCATAGATACCAGGATTAAAATTTTGTATGACAGACATGCCTTTCGTCTACAAAGGACTCATCAGTGAAGCTCGATTAAAAAAATTTTAGAAGCTCTAATAAAGAATGAAGTTAAAAAGCATTGAGGATCCAAAATTCCGAAATGTTTTGCCAAATACAGTCAATTTTAAGTTTTTGTGGTTTGGTCTATGATTCAGAAGTTAAAAAGGAATAGATCAACTTTATTTAGTGTTTGGAATGATTGTAAGGTGAACATGTCTGTAATCCAGGTTTCTTCTGACTTTGACTTCATTTTCATGGTTCATTGGTCAATTTTAAGTTTTGTGTTATAGTCCATTTTTATCTCGCCTACCATGAAAAATTCAGAATGGGAGACATAGGAATTACAATCAGACGATGAGGGCATACACTATTTGTATTAATCTTTTTATTCCAAAAGGTAGAAGACCTGGATGATACATACGCTGTATGCAGATACATTATGTTACAAAGTTTCCGTTTGTCATATGTCCATTGTCCTTGACCTCATTTTGATAGTTCAATGACTGCTTGAAAAAAATTACAGTTTTTTGTCATTTGAAATTCTCACTTATTATGAGTAATAGGATAATTATATTTGGTATACGGGTTCCTTGCATGTTCTACATGTCTGTAAGACACAGTTTGCCTGACCTCGACCTCATTTCATGGATCAATGATCAAGGTTAAGTTTTCGTGGTCAAGTCCGTATCTCAGACAACATAAGATCAACTATTTTTGGTATATCAAATGATTGTAAAGTGTACATGCCTGACTGGGAGGTTCATATGACCTTGACCTCATTTTCATGGTTCATTGGTCACTATTAAGATTTTGCGGCTTTATCTGTTTCATTGGTCAATGATAAGTTTTCGTGATTTTGTCAATTTATCAGATACTATAAGCAATAGGTCAACTATATTTTGTGTATTGAATGATTGTAAGGTGTACATGTCTGTATGGCATGGTTCATATGACCATGACCCAATTTTCATAGATCATTGATAATGTTAGTTAAGTTTATGTGATACTTGCAGATATTATCAGGTGCGGAACCAGGATTTTAGGCTAGAGGGGCGCAAACTTAGATTTTAGCCGAGCGGAGCATATGTAGTGTAAAGAATGATTGCAAGGTATATATGTCCTTCTGGCATGTTTCGTCTAACCTTGACCTCATTGTCATGGTTCAAGTTTTGAAGATAAAATATCTTTCTCAGGTACGGGGTACCAAAAGCAATAGGTTAAATATATGAGATGTATGGAATAATTGTATTTGTACATGTCTGTCTGGTAAGTTTATCCGACTCATTTTCATTGTTTAAAGTCCAGTGTTAAGTTTTCGTGGTGAGGTCTATTTTTCAGAAACTATCAGCAATATGTTAATTATATTTGGTTTATGAATAAACTCATCATAGATAACAAGATTGATTATAAGGTATACGTGTCTGTCTTGACCTTGACCTTATGGATTATTGATAATGGTTATTTTATGTAATATCTGTAGCATAACCTTTTTCTTTAAGACTTCCAACATAAGTTCAATTATGATCACAGCATATGCACTCTCATTTCAGCATGTGGCACAGTGCACTCTTATTTCAGCACGTGCACTCTTTCTTGTCTATCTTTTTGATCTTCTGATATATGGACAAAACGACCAGATTAATTTGCATTTACATATACACACATTAATAACAGGTTTTATTGACATAACTCAAATCATGCTAGAAACCACAATGCCACATATCTTGTCACTCGATAGAGGACATTGTTACATCTCTTTTCAGTTTTGAGGACAAATTAACATGATCCTTAAATATATTGCCTTTCTGTTATATACTCGGTTGGAGGGTTGGCACTTCTATCCTTTTGTGGTAGCGGTGAGTAGCTGATCGAGACATCCAGTTCGCCAGCCTTTTCACCTATTTTAAATTCCAAAAATCTAATATCCTATCAAATATTTTTGCCAAAAATATACTTACAGCTATCATGATTACGCTATATCATGGAGAGATAAATAGTTTTGATAATTATCTTACGCATTTACGACAGTGGTTTTAACAGAAAAAAATTCGACATCTGTTTCGTTTCAGATACTTTATATGATTTAATCAGCAACCTTGTCATATAAGTTATCTTAATACCTCAATCTTAAATATCATGAAGCTGGAAGTAGTGAATCCAGCAACTCATTCTTACCACTCATTACATAGTAAGTGGCCCTCGAGGGTATACGCTTTGAATGGAGTAGTTGTTTTTTCTTCATTTCTATAGATTGATCATATTTATATTCATCCTCTAGGCTGGTCCTCTCCCTTGCAACATATACCTTTGTGTATCTGTCAGAGCCAAACAGATAAAGGACAGAGAACCAGTCTAATTCATCCTCATAAACTGCGACTTTGATTTGGCCTTCCAAATGTTTTGATTTGAGCATCACTGAGGGGTCTTATGTAGACAAAACTCGCTTATGGTGTACCGAATGGTAACCCATGCCATTGTCAGTTCGTTTTTGACTTTTGTTGTATTCTAAACTTTTCTTTGTTTAACCTTTTCCCCATTATTGTGTGTTATATTTTCAGAATAGGATTCAAAAGCTATAAAATTTATTCATTTATACAACATATTGCAATCAACTGGAAAATTTCAATTCTGAAACCTTGAGAATTACCTCATACTTGAGAATTTTGTGTACCCATATTGATTCATATTAATTTGAATTATCAAGTCATTATTAAGGTAATGCACCAAAAGTGAGAATTCAATGATAATTTTAAAATGTATTTCAATAAACTTAACCACAAGTTTAAGATTAAGTCACTGGGGAAACATGCATCTAATGCTTTTTTTCATTTTAGGTGATAAACCTTGAAATCTAAAGAGATGAGATATGGCATAAATAATAATGAAATAATTTATTATCGAACAATTAGAACAAAGTATAAACATATGCATTATAAATGAATTTTCTATGTTATTTCTTTCTTTAAATATACAAGAGAATGCATTGTTGTAATGTCTTTAGTTTTTACTGGAATGATCAAACAAGAAACCCCCTTTATTATTCTTTTGATAAACTTTGTTTGGCCCAAAGGGGAATGTTTTCGTAAAAATAAAAATGTATCTGTGTTAACACCTGTTACAGTTGTCAAATAAAGTTCAGTTCATCTAAAGCACATGTCAATAAAGTCACTGTGAATCATTAATCCTTAACCTAGCTGTCAAAATCTTTTTGACAAAATAAAAATCTACATAGTTGTATACATGTGATTGGAATTTTTCAAGTTGATTGTAATGGGCTCTATTCACTTTTTTTATCAAAAGATTTAATTTCAAAGATTTAAATGGATTTATGTATCCGTTTTTGCCTCTTGCTTGCAAATATTGGTAAACTAAGTGACTTGATGAAATGAAAAAAAAAGACTACTGATAATTGTAATTTTCTATGATGACCATTATTGAATTGAATTGTGTTATATAGAGTATTTGTATTAACAGATAACTATAGGATTGTTCCATTGGTGTCGGTATTAAAACTTAAGAGAAAAATGTCAATATTGATACTAAGGATTTTCTTCCCCAGAATTAGATTAATTTAGCTGTAAATTGCAAACCCTTTGAGAATTTTTGGTCCTCTATGCACCTGAACTTCGTACTTTATTTGGTCTTTTAAGCTTTTTGGATTTAGGCGTAATGATAAGTCTTTTGTTGACGAAACATACGTCTGACGTACAAAATTTTAATTCTAATATCTATGAAGGTCATGAACTTTCAAAAGCATGAATTAGTCCAGGAATGTTATAATGAAAAGCAAACAATACCACAAATAAAAGAAAAAGAACAAACTAACTAACAGTATATAATTTAAATAATGAAACAAAATGCAAAAATAACAAAATTTTAAAGCTAGGGATGTATTATTTTGATATTAGGATAATGAATCCGGTAAAAATATCAATGAAAACAAAGCATGATAGCTTTATGAAAAAGAAATGTGTACTCGGATCACTTACCTATCAAGGTTCATAATAAGTTGATTTTGATCAATTCTTATCTTTTATCAATTTTGAACTCAGGAA